TTTCCTTACCTCCAGGCACCTTCTCTCCCACTCTACCCTCCAATTCCTCCAGGCTGATCTTTCCAAAGCAAAAATCCAGGTGAGCCACTTCTAATAATGGCTCTCCACTCCCTTCTGGAAAATGTCCAACTCCTCTGCTCTGGGTACAAAGAGCTCCATGTTCTTGCTTCATCCTTGTCTCTGACCTCACCTGCTGGGCACCCCTCTCTCCCCAAACCCTACAATGCACACAGTTCCCCAAGAAGACCTCCAGCTTCATGCGTCAGGGACTTTGCATATGCTTCCCTTTGTCTGGAATTCTCTTCCCTGGCTAACATCAGGTATTTCCCTGCAAGGTCCCTGGAAACCCTTCCTAGGCAGCAGACCTGGAGCTCCTTCAGGCCACTTCCTCAGTCCTCTCTGATCTCCAGTGCAGGGCAGGACCCTGGACAGAAATGAATGCTGGAATAGGAAGCACAGGTGCAAAACCAAAGGTTTCCCTCCGCATCTCCAGGATGGGCACCAATCGTCCAGTAGATGTGGCTTAGTGTAAATTTCAGTTCCCATCCTGGAATCAGTTGAATCTGTGCTTCTTGCCACTCCAGTTTGGGCCAGGAAGTTTTTAGTATTCCATTTTTAAAAACACAACATTTTAGTACCAAAATGAATGCATTTTATTTATAGACACTGGAGCAGGTTGCCTCCTGCCCCCAACTCTCCTTCCAGAAGACAGTCTATCCCATGCATGTTTCCCAGATACGGAAAGCTACAGGGCTCCTTTCACAGCAGAAATAGTGTCCAGGGAAACCCGCCTGGTGGGTTGCTCCTACCCCATCCACATCTGAATGGACGCGGCAGGGAAAGGCCTGGGTGTCACGGAGGCAGCGCTTTGGAACTGAGCAACTGTTTCTGAACACCCATCCCACATGCGACTGGCCCCACAGTGTGTCCACCCTCCCAGTCACCCGGGCTTCCCCGCCCTCTGTGGCTGAATCAGGTGATGTCAAGAGGCAGCTAAAAAGATGCTGCGGAATGGCCAGCCCAGAGCCATGAAAGGAGACAAGAGGCCGGATCCCGGGCCAAACCGCTCTTACAGAAAGCAAGAATTGTAGAGGACAACAAACAGAACCTTCTTCTGAGATCCTAAAGGAGACTGAGGAGGTGGTTCCTCTAACCTCCCTCAGGATTTGAAAGATCCACTTTTTGGGTTCCACTGGAGTTTAGAAATCCAGAGTCGGCTCCTCTTTCCTCTCCATAGATTGCAAGTGACTCTAGGGGCAGGTCTGCATCTCTGGTGTCCCTCCACACCTCCCACGCTCATTGGACTTTACTGAGGTTCAGTGCTGGGCACCAGGAAAAGAAAGTGCTCCACCTCTGAGGGGGCACTGGAGAGCCAACCATGCCTAAAGGGTGCCAGGTGCTCTGACCCTCAAATCCTGCTTAAAGGTCACCTTCCAAGTAAGGTCTCCCCGACTTCCCCATTTTAATATTGCAGCCCCCGCTCTGGCATGTCCTCTGCACCGCTCTGCTCTATTGCCACCTAATAGACTGCAAAATTTACCTGTTCAATCGAACACCTCTCTCACCCCCCCTCTAGTAAGCACCCTGAGGGGAGGCATTTTTGTATTACTCACTGACAAATCCCCAGGATCTAGAACAGGGATCGGCACATAGTAGGTGCTCAGCAAATGCTTGATCCAAGCATTCATTCAGCAAATGCCTTCATTCAGGAATAAAATCTGCAAATGCAGCATGCATTTTGTCAATGTTTGCTCATTGACAGTGGGGTCTTTAGGCAAGTGAAGTAATTAATAGCCACTTGTGAGGTTCCCAAATAGTGCTGGGCACTATGAGGATATAAAAGCTCTGATGTCCGGCTGGGCACGGTGGCTCACGCCTGTAATCCCAGCACCTTGGGAGGCGGAGGCGGGTGGATCACCTGAGGTCAATTGTTCGAGACCAGCCTGGCCAACATGGCGAAACCCCATCCCTACTAAAAAATACAAAAACTAGCCAGACATGGTGGTGCGTGTCTGTAATCCCAGCTACTCGGGAGGCTGAGGCCGGAGAATCGCTTGAACCTGGGAGGCTGAGGTTGTGGTGGGCCAAGATCGCACCATTGCACTCCAGCCTGGGTGACAGAACGAGACTCTCAAAAAAAACTCTGATGTCCATCCACCACTGGCTTCCTGTTGCCTTTGGAATAAAATAGAAATTCCTCCCACTGTGGCCCCTGCCTACCTCACTTTCCTCTGCTTCTCCAGCACACACCAGGATATGTCTTCACCGGCCTTAAGTTCCTCTATGTTCCAAGCTTGTTCGTGCCTCAGCGCCTTTGCACTTGCTGACCTTGTTGCTGGATCTCAGTGTGAATGTCCCTTCTTCTCATAGTACTTCCTGTCCCCCCTAAACCAGTTACCCCGCAAATCAACACCCACCTCAGCTCCGTTTTGTCATCTGCACTGCCTGAAACGATCTTGATCATTTATTTACTCGTAGAACCAGTTTCTTGGAGAATCTCAAATCCATGGGCTCTGAAACAAAACCATTTTACTTTTTCCTGATTACTTTTTTCCATCAAGGTCTGCAGAGGTCCCCTTCCTGCTGGGTCTTCCTAGCAGGCTGATCCCGACACGTTTCAGACCATCCTAGTCACCGAAAGGCAGGCCAGGTCAGCTCAAACTCCCGAAGTGTTTGTTCAAATCTCTTTTCCAGAAGAGTGGGGAGGGGAGCAAGATCTTTTCTTCCTGTCTCTGGAGTAACTTGGAACAGAGGGGCCAGGAAGGAGCCGCGCGTCTTCTGCACAGGTCTCCTCTGGGTCCAGTTCCATCTGTTGTTATCTCCGTGGTGGTGGGGGGCGGGGGAAGTGCCTGGTGGTTTTGGGGCTGAGCCTCCTCTGTTGCTGCGGTCTCCTCAGGAAGGGGCAGCCATATTCCCCTCCAGCCCTGCCAGTGAAGAGGCCCCCTACCCTTTTCCAGGTGGGAAACAGCTTCCTTTGTCAGTACCTGTCTGGTCGGCCACATGACTCCACTCCACGTGGGTCCTTCTAGAAGCCCTCCGTGGAACACCTGTGCCGCCCTTCCGGATGTGATCCTTGCTTTTCCTGCTCCTGGTGCAGGCTTCTCCCCAAGCCTCTCCCCACGGAACGCCTCCGAGAGGGGACCAAACAGCTCTGGGGATGTGTGCTGAGCTTCCCAAGGGCGCCCTTGCCACCCTGTGCTGCAGCTGGCACCAGGTTCCTGCAGCTCAGAGAGCATCCGACTGGGGTGCCGTCCCAGCCTCCTCTTCCTGGCAGCATCCTGTCTCAGGAGGATCCTCTTGGGCCTCCTTCCCTTGGCGGGGCAAGGGGGTGACGGAGGGGGGCACCCACTCACCAACACAGTGGTCACCCTCACTCCCGTCTCTCTTGACCATTCCAATCTTATACAGACAGGGAGGAGCGGGGAGCAGGGGGAGGGGGAGCTCACAGCAGCAGGACCAATTCTTCCGTCTTTACTAGGGCCATGGGGAAGGGGGCTGGCCCTAAGCTTCCATATCTCTTTAGGAGGTGGTTTACTTAGCATCTTTGTCCACAGCTGTGGCCCTGGTAACCAATTCTGGAGCAACTGAAAATGTGCCCGCTGCATCCCTTTGGTTATGATGAGCCTTCCCTTTCAGAACATGTAGCACAAAACGAGCAGCCTGGCTGCTAGTGCCTAGGAAAATACCCAGCAAAAGGTAGGCCCTTGCTAACGACTTGCTGAAGGCATGACATGGCCGCTACAGTGGCTTCATGTTGAGTAACAGGAAGAGAAGGGGGATGCGAGAGCCTGACCTTGGCTGACACCATGTGCCCAGATGCCCTGCACACCCGTTACTTCACTTCTCACAGTCACCTTGAGAGGCAGCCTAACCCCCACCTGCTCCCAGCCAAGCTCGGAAGGAGGCAGAAGAGGATGGCGGCTGGGAGCCGGGCTCTGGCGTCCATGATCCTGGCTTGGCCACCCCTTGGCTAAATGTCTTAGTTCTCTGACTCCAGCTCCTCATTTGTAAAAGGGGGATGGTGAGACTCTGCCCTGTAAGGACTAAATTAGCGAATATATGACATGTGCTTAGCTCGTGTAGAGACATGGCAGGTCGTAAACAGGAACCAGGGCAATTTCCATCATTATCATTGGGACAGGCTCAGGTCGATCCACCCCACTGCCGGCACTCTCTGCACGACGCCCCTCGCTCCTCTGGAGGGAGAGTGATGAAGTCCCCTGGGGCATGGGGGCTGAAAGAAGCCGAGACCCCTGGGGGAAGGTGACAGTCAGGGAAGGCCTTGGATGCCAGACCTTGGCCGGCAGCCTGATGTAAAAGGCGATGAGGCACCTCTGTGGGTCTTTTAATCAGGGCAGTGAGATGATGAAAGTGGTGTTTTAGAAGATTAATCTGGCAGCACAGACAGGATGGAGAACAGTCAAGCTCAGTGCAAACGATGATGCCGGTTGCCCAGCTCCCCGAGGAAGGCGGGAGCCCTGGCCTTCCTGCACTCAGCCTTCCTTACAGCCGTAGAGGCTGGGCCCTCCACCAAGAGACAGGTACCAAGGGCGGCCGGCAGAGGGCACTGTTCTGCCGGTGACGGAGCCACCTCCAGGGAGGTCTGGCATCTGGCTAGCCAGGAGCAGGCAGCAGAATGGACTCTGTCAGCATAAGGAGGGGGCCATCAGCCCCGTCTCAGCCTCGGGACAGGTTCTGAGCTGGGCATTTCAGCTGTGGGAAAGTGTAAGCAAACGCTGGGCCAGGCCCTTTCAAAGCCCACCGTGGGCTTCGCTTTTGCCGTGGGAGGCCCTTTAGGGAGACGGTGCGCCCTGCCGCGCAGAGTGGGCAGGACCACTCCCTCGAGCAAGGCGATGTCCCGAAGCACCAGCCTCACAGAAGGGAGGGCCAGGGTTCCGAGTGGGGCTCCCGGCTTCCCTGGAACCGGCAGTGACGCAGTGGCCAAAGTGTACAGTGGAACTAGGGCCACCCAGGCCAAGAGTGAAAGGAGCTGCTGCTTCGACATTTTCTCCTCATTTTATTTAAAGCCGTCATTATACATTAAAAGTGCAGAGGTAATTCTGTCTTCTCCGGTTGTGCAGCACGATCTGCTCCAGCTGTTCACGCCAGCGCCCGGAAAACCTCCACCTTCTCCCGGTAGAGCTGGTGGAACTGCTTGGCCAGGCAGTGGAAAGGGGCTTCGAAGTTTTCCATCTCCTTCTGGAAAGACAGTTTAAAGAGTTGGCTGTGTTACTTTTAGAAGGGTCAGAGGGCCAGCACTCACTCCATGCTTCCCTCATTCAGGGGCTACCTACTTTCCACCTCATTTCATCCTCACACCCTTTGGGGTAGCCACTTTGATGGATGCCAATTTTACAAGAAGGAAACTCAGATGGATTCAGGAAACTCAGAGATGAAGGTACCTTGCAGGAAGCCACACACCTTGTGAATGGTGGAGCTGGGGCCTGAACCCACGTCTGTTTCTACAAAGCCTGTGCTTTTAGGTGTAGTCACTGTATGTGTGATGAGATGTGAAAATGAGACCTTCCTGTCTTAGTTTTGACTGAGGCTCCAAACGCCAAAGCAAAATACCAGGCAACCAGGAGCCCCCCATCCCGAAAAAGAGCTAGACAGTACGGGGCACCCTCTTCCTAGGCTGGTGCTGGACCCAGGCCTGGGAGGAATCGAGGTGAGGTGGCAGCTGGGCAAGCCAGGAGAGGGCTGCCAACGAGACGGCCTCACTGCCTCCTTTGTCAAACTAAACGGCTGCAGTGGCACTTCCCTGGACCAGCGGGGGCCAAGTGGCGCCAGCCTGGTGCTGTCTTAAGGGGCCTCGGCTGGAACCGCCTCAGGGAGGGTGATGGATCCCAATAAGAATGAACAGCCAGGAACTGGGGCTGCAGGACGGGTGAGGGGGCACCACCTGTGAGAAGCAGCCTGCAGGTGAGACAGCGCCACTGATGGGGTGGGGAGGGGCATCTCAGAGGCGCCCACAGGGCACCAGCCGGATCCACCCAGCAGGTATGGAGTGGGCCACGACAGACCCCAACAAACACGCTGCACTACTGGCTCCACTCTCTCCCTCCCGAAGACTGTGAGAGGAGGTGCAACTTTAAATGAAGTTCAGAATTTTGACAATCACCCAGGGCTGGGCACTTTATACCTGAAATCATGACTACTTTTGTGACTAAAGGGGCCGAAAAGAATTTTTGTTACCTGAGAGAGAAAAGAGAAGTTAAGGAACTTGCCCTAGATTTTATCTAAGGGGTGGAAAAAATGGGCCCCTCCAGGTGCGCAGGGACAGGCTGGAGGCGAGCGGAAACGGCAACTTCTCACTTCACAGCTACTCTCGCTCTGTGGGGACACGTGTGCATTCAAAAACTTTTTCAGAAACAAGCTGGCAGAAAAAGGAATGTACTACTTTCAAGACAGTAGCTCAAGCTATGAATGCACTAAGGACCTGTTTTGAGACGATCCCTGGCAGCTGGCAAAAGTGCAACCTTGAGAAGAGGCCGTGAAATATCCCCAGCAAAACAGAAGGATTTCCAAACTGAAGAACGCTGCACAGAAGGCATCAAGCGCGGTGCTTTCGCTGCACAGGTGAGTCGTCTGGGGCCCAGCAGGTGAAGTGGCCCAGCTGGCTGGTGCGGAGCCCAGCCCAGCATCCAGATTCTCTGATTTGGGAAGAGCTGCCTTTCCTCGAGGCCAGCTGGGATGAGAGAAATGTGTGAAGGAAACCAGGTCCCTTGGAGAAAGTTACCTGGACTTTCTAGCCAGGGAAAGCCTAAGCAAATAAAACAGTTGGCCAAGAGGAAAGACAGCGGTGGCAATGCTGAGAGAGTGTGGAGGAAAGAGTGGAGCGTTTGTAGCCCAGACGAACATTTACAGTAAGCGCCCAACAGCCAAGGACTTGAAGGCCATCAACCTCCAGCTGGACATGAGAGCAAGAATTCAGTACATCCTGCCGGGCGCTGCTGTTTGTGCAGAGCACAAGGTCCCAGGCAATGCCAGTGTCGGGGTAAAACACTGCTTCCGTCAAAAGCAGAGTTAACAGTGGAATGGAAAAAGACTGAGGCCTGCATAGCGCACGCACGGGGATTTCTAAATGGATTCGAAAACACTCAAAAACTCAATCTTGGGAGATCTCAACATAAAAAGGAAGGAATTCAATGCAGGTGAGCCTCAATAGACACCACGGCGTGCTTCTGAAATAGATGGAAATTGAACTATTTTCCAAATACGTGAAGAGGGTTGCCAATGACAGGAATCCTTTTGTCTGATCACTAATCATCATCTCGCTTACACAGTCAGGACAGCTGTGGGGTAGGTCTGTTTAGAGTGAGGGATTCTCAGGGCAGGTTCAGGCTAGTGTTCAGTCTGGCCTAGAATTGTGTTCTGCAGTGTCCCAAAGCAGGCTCTGCGGGAGGCCAGGGTACCCCTTCTAGAAAACCCAAGTTTTCCAGCTGGACAGGCCTGACCGCTAGTCCTGTTTCTAGCCCTTGTTTAACTGTGCGACCAGGGCAAGCTACACAACTTTTCTGAGTCTGTCATCTGTACAACACAGGAGTGTTACGTTGTAGGGCTGTTATGAAGCCTAAACAACGTGTGCAAAACACCTAGCACACAGTAGGCCCTCAATGAACATTACTTCCCCACTCCTCGCTTGCCTGGGAGGGCAGTGATCACTGTGGACTGTTCTTGCACTTGTCTGTAGGGACCTTCTTTGGGTCGGCAGGATGGTCACTGCGGCATTTAGGCAGAGGAGAGAAGGAGATGGGCTTGGCATCAGGCCTTGGCTGCGTCTCAAGCTGCGTTTGGTTATATTTCCTTTTTAATTACAGCTTTCTTAACTGAGCTGCCAGTGGTGCTTCTGTGAGCCTCAACTCAGGGGGGACTAGTTAACTTGCACAGATAATAGCAAGTGCTTACTGCAGCCTCTTCAAGCATAGTTTATACCCACCCACTTCAACACCTGAATAGAGTTTAACCGGTAGCCCACTGGCCTTTGGTGACTCATGTTTTGGAGGTTGGGGTGGGTTTTAATTTCTGAGTTCTATCAAGTGTTCCAGGGAATATGGAATATTGGGGTGCGGGGACAATTTCACAAATGAATGGAGGAAGGGGGAATACTGAAATCCTGTTTGCTAGGGCACTACTGCCTACCGCTTTGCACAAAGGTGTGCTGCAGAAAAGATGAGGAACCTACTGTACAGGAAAAGCTGATTTGGACTTCATTAATTTAGCATTTGTGATAATTGGACCAGGGGCAAGGGTGATATTTACCTCTGCACAAGCCATGAATACAAGGATTTAGTAAGTAATAACAGTATAAACAAGATTCCAGGGGCAACATTTATACTTTAAGAAAGCTAACATCTACTGAGTGTTTACCAGGTGCCAGACTTTGTGATCCGTGTTTTATATGCACCATATTACTTGATTCTCATCTTTATTACTCAATGGGGATGTATTTTATTATCCTCATTTTACAGGCCTGAGGCACCAACAGTTGAAATAACATGTCCAGGTTCCCATGGCGAGTTCTCCTGCTCTCCATGGGAGGTCAGAGTGCCTGCCTTTACCACTGTAAAGGAAGCATGCTGCTTTGAGGGGATTTTATAAGCTTGGACAGCAGCACTGGTCAAGGTTCCTAGATGCAACAGCGGAAGTGCCTAGAGCCAAAGTCAAGCTGGGGCAGCAGATGACCTCTAGAACATTAACCAGCCCATGCGAAGACGATCTCCAGAACATTAACCAGCCCATGCGAAGACCATCTCCAGAACATTAACCAGCCCATGCGAAGATGATCTCTAGAACATTAACCAGCCCATGCGAAGACCATCTCCAGAACATTAACCAGCCCATGTGAAGACGATCTCCAGAACATTAACCAGCTCATGACTCTTTTGAGGGCCACAGAATCAGGTCTAAAGGCCACAAGATGAGGTCCAAGTTATGACCATGACTGTGCCAGGCCTGGTGGTCTCCCCAGCTAGCAACCCTGGCAAGGGGCAGGGCAACCAACACCCCGACCCCTGCTGGTTCTGAGATGGATGTCTGGGGCCACTCCTGCTCCTAGAGGGCAGGTCATCACTTCATGCCCTTCCTAGTGGAGTCTCACGTGAGGGATCTGATTGGTGCAGCTTGGGTCACATGCCTGCATCTTGGCCTCGGGGAGGAAGGGACTTTAAAACTCCCAAACACAGGAAGCGGGTTCCTCAGTGCTGGACAGCTAAAATCATGATACATGAGGTTGGTGCAAAAGTAATTGCAGCTTTTGCCATGAAAAGTGTACTGAAGATGCTGATAACAAATCACTTGCTTTTTCTACTTAATGAGGTCTTTTGATCTTTTAACTGGTAGGAACTTTGTGGCCTGGAGTCACCCTGGGGCTGCAGCAAGGTGAGGATGGGAGGCACTGATGGGAATTAGAGGCCATAAGTCTTAGTCCTGGCTCCACCCTTCACTAATCATGGGACTTTGGACAAGTCACTTCAGCAGCTCAACACTGGAATGGGAACTGTGAAGCCAACTTCTGGTTCACAGGCCTGATTGTGAGAGCTACAGGAAACAATGTTCCAGCAACATCTGAACCCAGAATACTGCATGCAAACGTCAAGGGTCATGATCACCGCACACCATGCACTTCTGTTTCTTACTAGTTGAGATATACCTTTTCCCAGGGTTGGCTGGCTAATCTGCCTTCCTATTATGTCTAAGCGGCTACTGCTGTACTGAGAAGAGATCTTGGGCTAAGAATGTAAACATCAGTTCCAAATGAGACTCTGCATATGGTGGAATAACAGCTCCCTGCACGTGAGGTCATGTGCAAGACCGCTGCCAGCAGAGGCCCACTCCAGACTTGGCGACGAGGCAAGCGGAGATACTCACCACGGATGTTTCAAAACATTCCAGGCCTTGGCCCAGCGCCCATGCCCGGGCCTCAGCTGAGTCCACTGCTCGCCTGCCGACCAGGTCTGTCTTGTTCCCAACTAAAACACCTACTCAGAAGAAACAACCAAAATATGACACTTCACTGTCACAGCCTGGAAGGACAGCGGGCGAGATGAGAGCACTATTTTTGAGGGGTGTAAAGCATCCTCTAAGAGCTGCCTGACTCAAGGTGGTGAGACCCCACAGGGAAAGCCGGGGGTCTCTCGTGCTGGCCCCGACGGCCACAGAGAGACAGGTGGGTTTTGCTTTTTCATGCACAGCTTCTGCTAGATCTTTTTTCTAGACTTCATGTATATCTGTTTCCCTTGCCTCCTTAAAGGGCTGCAAACGCGTGAAGGCGAGGGCCAAATTTATGTGAGCCTTTTAATAATTCCTAGCACATGGAGCAAACTGTAAACTGGTCATTAATACTAATCTAAGGACTCGGCTCGGAGTCAGGGATTCAGAGGTAATTTAGTTCAGCTCCCAGCTGCATCAGCTGCAGCTAATTTTTGAGCCTGTCTCTGGAGATCACTTTCCCCGGTCTATAATGAGGAGAATTTGTTGATCTCACATAGGGACAAAAAATAAACTGATTTAAAGCATTCAGAAGTGACAACAGGACTTGAATGTTTACTTGTAACCCATATACAAGAGAAAATTAGGAACTCTTCCCTGGGGTTAGCTTTCTGGAATTAACAACTGATATTACAGCACCCTCCCCGTATTGAGTCGCCCCACAGCCCTGCCAGGTGCGTGTCCTCATTCCCATTTCCTAGACTGGGAGAGGTGTGTGTGGTGACCCACCGAGGTTGGCATGGCTGCTAAGCGGCAGGGCCAGTGTATGCCTCAGGCCATCAAAGTCAAAGCCCAGGGCCCCTTCCCCACCCACAGCTGCCTCTGCAATGCCCTTGTGCTCTTGAACCGAAGGACAGCGATGCCTCTGGGAAACATGGGTGTCTGCAGCTCGTACCTGGGAGAGAGGTGCCTGGAGCCTGGGCCCGAGCCTTCTCCAGCCACTTGCTGCAGTTGTTGAAGGACTGTTCACTGGTCACATCATAGACGAGACATAAGACATTGGGACTCTCCCACTGTGCAAGAGGGACAGGATGAGCATGGGTCAGTAACAGGAAAGGTGACTTCAAGGCTGGGAGACAATTTGGCCTTTCAAGGGAAAAGCTATGGGGAGCAGAGGGAAACAGAAAACTATAAAGGGGACGGGAGTCAGAAAACAGCCACACCCGCAGAAGTCAAACAATTTCCCCAAAGGAATGAACGGAGGGCCCCGTTCAGTGGCAGGAGGCAGGGCTGGGGCGGTGCCGCCAAGGACGAGAGCTCCTGTCTGGGCCAGGCTCTGCTGTTCACTTCTGCGCCTCACTGTGAAGCCTCCCAACGCGGGGGAGTGTCTGAATATTTCCACTTTGTAGCTGAAGAAACCGAATTCAGGGAGGCTAAGTGACTTGTCCAGGCCTGACAGGCTTTAAAAACAATGACAACGATGACAGAGATGGGGGACGACTGAGGTCCTCTCTACCCAGAAATCTGCGTTCACCTGTGGCTGGCCTCGTTCAGTCATTCTCCACTCATTCTCATTGAGAGCCCACCACCATGCAAGTTATGTTTCTGTGCTTTCCAGCCCTGAAAGAAGATTCTTTCTTCATTAGCCAGCCCTGGGAGCTTGTTTGCTTGTATCTTCTTAATAAGGGCTGGCTTTTTAAAATGCAGAGGACACTTTCTGCTTCTCTTGCCATCCCTGCATCAGCCTAATCCAAACCACACCGACAACTGGACAGGGCTCCATGACCCAATTAAGAGCCGAGGCTACACTCTCGGGGGCTGTCGCCTTCAGGGGCTGCTCAGAGTCCTGGGGCGTCCTGCTGCCTACCCCGATGTCGGATGGCCCTGTACAGGCTGTGGGTGCGCACCCTGGTGCTTGTGACTCTTGGTCATGCCCTGGTTTCTGGATCCCCCAACCTTGCACAATTAGGACCTGGTTTATTTCTGGGGTGTCAGTAACCTTCCAGGATACAGAGGAGAATCCTTTTCCCTCCAGATTGGATCCCTTTTTGGATCCTTGGAAGGCCAGCCCAGAGTCCATTCTAGAGGGCCCCTCCTCACCCTATAAGGCTGTGCTGGCTCCTGGCAATGTCCAGGATGGGAGGACCGTGAACTAAACTGATGAACCCTTCACTCCACAGATTAACTCTTGAACTCCTGCTAGAACACACTGAACTCTGTTACATGCATGCAGGAGACACCTCAGCATGGTTTTAACTCAAGAAACCCTCCTTCTTCCAGGCTGCAGTGAGGGGATCCTGGAGAGGCCTGGCATCAAGTTAAAGCCAGAGCGGGTGAACCGGGAGTCAGGGCCGGCTGGAGGGAAGGGTGTGAGCTGACGGGTGGCACATGGCCTGGATTTGCCCAAATACATCTTCCCTTCTGCTGGGCATGGCAGCCCCAGTGCCAGGCCATGCACACAGTAGGCAATTGGGGTGAACATCGTGAACCGATGCATGGAGCCAACCCTGTATGAAATCACTATCATTAGATCTACTTTTCTTAGGCGACAAAAAAAAAAGGGACAGAAAACAGTTTCCATTAAAATGTGGCTGTTCTTGGAAAGGCAGGGGAGGGCTCTGGAGAACTCAAACCTTCTAATTAGCTCACTGGCCCAGATTAGTGAGACTGTTACCATGGAAGGTACAGCAAGCGGATCCTGCGAGGCTGGTGGGACGGGGGTGGATGGGGCATGGTGAGCCCTGGGCAGCAGTAGGGGCATTTCCCGGAGTAAACCCCAGTGGAACAGCAGAAAGTGAGCCTCATTATAGGCTGAGGCCTCTACAGCACTTCCCAGAGGGGAAGGAGGCAGTCTGTACTGTCCTGGGAGGTAGGGGACACCATCTGAAAGGACACCATCAGGAGGGTGTTGCTCTAAAGGAGGGAGGCCTCACAGGGGGAGGGCTGCAAGGACTGAGCCGCAAGGCTCTTGGCCCATTGGATCCTGGGCACCCCGGAGCTGGGGCCCGGGCAGTCACGCACATCAGCCGCTCCTTCTTGCCAAGTAGCCACGAGTCTGGGCTGGGAGGAACGCCCCTTAAAGAGGAATGCCACGGGAGCTTCCCAACAGCACAGTGCAGGGAAACTGCTGTGTGAGCACTGTCAGGGACCAGCGTTTCGGCAGGAGGTGGTGATGGTCAGGAAAAAGACCACATGCTACTTGCCAATTTATCCAGCATTTCCGAAAACAGCTCCTTGCCGGCAGAGTCGAAAATGAAGAGTTCCTACAATCAGAAAAGCAAGAAAGTCTCCACGTGGAAAAACCACAAGCTACGAGTCATTGGTATCACTCTCAGCTCACACTAGACTTGTCTTAGGGGTGAAATACAGGCACCCACATCTTCACACATGCTCTGTCCTTTCTCCCAGGCACGAGAGAAGATGACGGGGAAAGGAGCGAACTCCAGAGTCTTAGAGAGGCGGTACGACGGGTTCTCGCACCGACCAGCACTTTCTGTGTGGAGTCTCACCTCTTGTAACCCTGAGTGCAAAAATACCAGGAACAAGCTGACTTCCCACCTGGCAGAACAGAATGTTAAACAGGCCGGCGAGCGCTCTGGTTTCCAAAAGGTCATTCTGCACTTTGTTAACCAAATTGATTTTCAAATCTTAGAACAATTCTTTCTAAAGGAGGTCACTGAGTAGGCCTGGGGAAGGTGTTTAAAGTAGGACATTCTGTCACCCTTCTGGGATGGCTAAGGAGTGATGCAGACAGAGGGTGCGGGATGACCCTTCCTGCCCCGTCCAAACCTTCGCCAGCTCACGTGAGAGCCCCCAGGGCTGCTCCCCTAGGAAATCACCCCTCGGCTCCCCGCCAAGCTCCCTCCTGGCACTGGGTATTTCCTGGCTGGCCTCTGATCCCCAGCATATGCCGTCTGAACATCAGTGCCACGGTCTCTTTTGCATATTGGTTACCTGGGCACTCACCTTTCTCTTCGTCAGAAATACTTATACTTTTTTTTTTCTCAGACCTCTTTAGGAATCTGGTGAAAGCTACAAACCCTCTCTCTAGAAAAGTACACACAAACACAACACCTTGCAATCCACTTTCAAGAGTCCCAGGTTCCCATACAGAGACTCAAGAACCTTGATAGTAGAGAACACGTTCTTTGAGGGCCAGGCCCATATCCTAGTCCTCCTTCCTTCCTCCTCCACCTCCTCAGTCCCTCCCCTGAATGCTTCCTGATTCTATTCCGAAATGCTCAGACAAGCCACAGCCTTGCACTACATCTCTCCTAGGGAGGGTGGTGTGACCACAGAGACCCTGGGCCCAGCTGGGGAAGCCCTGAGTTCCCTTGGGTAAAGGCATCACTCACCACACTGTCTCCCGTGTCAGGAACTGGCACTGTCTTCACCACCAAATCCATTCCTGTTGTCTGCCGAGGAACACCAAGAATGTTAGCATTGAGGGCCCCCAAAGCGGGAGACTGTTACAGGAGGACACACAAGCACCCCGATCCCAGGGGGGCTATCTCTAGTGGAAAGGTTTGTTCTGGACTCATTCTGGTGAGAAGCAGCTCAGTGTGCAGAAGTCAGAGAGGACCCACTAGTCCTCTCCACCTCCCTGCCCCGACATGAGCTGCTACACATGGTGGCCAAGTTGCTTGGGGCCAGTCTGCTCTGTAGCTGACCTCTCACCCTGGGCTAGTGGAAAAATCGATCTCTACGTGGCCCTCCGAGCAGCCTCTTATCAGCTGTCTTAAGGCTTCTTCAGGGAACTTCGCAGTCACTCACTCACGGTGACTGAGCACTTCTCTTTAAGCCGTGGCCAGGTCTCGACTCCCCAGCTTACCAAGGTGTAGCTCTTCTGGAAATGGGCTCCGTCACTGCGGAAGATCTGCGCCAGGGCGGTCTTGCCCACTGCTGGGTCTCCTGCGAGGTCAGAAAAGAAGAAAAAGAATGCCTCCGTTCTCATCCGACTTGAGACTCTCTCGCTGCAGAACATTAGTCTAGAAACCAAAAACTTCAGTGAGTTTTGAGAGATGTACTTGCCTCTCACAGGAACTTGTTCTGAGGCCGTGGGCAGGGCACAGGTCCGTGAGACTGATCTGCAAACCTCACAGCAGCCAGAGCACATTCCTGCATGGCTAAGCCTTTTATCCACGGGAACTGACCCAGAAGGCAACAGAGCTTATGGAGGGCTCTGGGGCCCTGGAAACGGAACTGACGCTCTTCCACTGAAACACACCCTATGGGGAAAAGCTGTCACTTCCAAACTGGAATTTACTTTGAAGTCTTGAAGGTAAAGAAGTGTGACTGGCACTGACAGGCAGACTCACCTGTTAACTGACCCAATCTGGGTTGACAGCTTCCACCTGAATACTATTTTGGGTGGGGGGGTCAGGGATGGAAGGGTTTCTGCATTTGTGGGAAGCAAGAAGTATGAGGCTATGTTCATCATCCTGAAATCTCCAAATGCTATGCTCCGTCTCCATCGCGGAGTGCCCGTCTGTGACCCGAGGATTCATCTTCCCAGGGGCCTCTCCACCAATTCTATCTGCAATAGCAGTCACCTCCTCCAAGCTCGTCTCTCACCTACTGGCTTTATCTCCCTTTCCTCTGCTGCTCAACAGCCCCAGAAACTGGTCCCTCAGAACTAAAGGTTTATGTCGCAGTTTTCGGTCTCAGACCTGAGCCTTTCACAAGATGGCTGGGCGCCATTTAATCGAGCGCTCCTCCTGTGCCCGTCACAGGTGCTGGAAGCTCTCCCTGCCCGTCTTGAATTTCCCTTTGCCCTCCCCATTTTCCGTCTCATGACTCTGCTGAGCCTCCTTCGATGCCGATTCTTTCCATGTTCTACCTCTTTTCCTCCTGAGTCTTACATGGACTTGCACTCCACCGTCCAGGCCCTGGCAGAACACGTGCTTTGCGCTTCTCATCCTCTGGATGCTTAGCAAAATCAGCCCCGCACTCCGCGGCTTCCAACTCGCGTCACTTGGTACCATCTCTTCACCTTTGCTTCCCACTTTACAGTCGGCTTCAACACTTCTTTCCTCAACTTCTCGACAGTCTGCCACTGTTCACTTTTCAGTTTTGACTTTTCCCACCTATAATTTTCTCTTGTAAGACAATTATTTCAATGCTTGTGTCATTTCATTTTATGTGAACTCCTCCAGGTTTGAGTGAGCTATTCAGGTCCTGCTTTTCTATTTGTCATCACTCCTTAGAAGGGAACCAACAAGTGCTGAGCCCCCCTCACGGACCTGTTCACACAATCCCATTCATTCCTTCTCCGCCAAGGTATCATTAACCTCACCTGACAGATGAAGAGACTGAGGCTCAGAGAGGCTGGGTAACTTGCCCGGGATTCCAACCTCATGCTCTTCCCAGGCCTTGCTCCTCTCCTAGAGCTCAGGGACCACTTCTGATCCTTTTCATGTTTTGAGACGGAGTCTCTGTCACGCAGGCTGGAGTGCAGTGGCGTGATCTCGGCTCGCTGCAACCTCCGCCTCCCGGGTTCAAGTGATTGTCCTGTCTTAGCCTCCTGAGTAGCTGGGACTACAGGTGCGCACCACCACGCCCAGCTAATTTTTGTATTTTTAGTATAGACGGGGTTTCACCACGTTGGCCAGCCTGGTCGTGAATTCTTGACCTTGGGTGATCTGCCTGCCTCTGCCTCCCAAAGTGCTGGGATTACAGGCATGAGTTCTGACCCATTTTTAATGCTGCCCCTCCAGGCCCTCCTCACCGCAGCCTTCCATGACATCTGGGGCAACCACAGCCTAGACCGTCACGGGGTACCCGTCCATCTCGGAGCAAACAGAGCGCGTCGCTTTCCTTCCTTGGGCCCTGACTGCGCCTGCCCTGCCGACTCCAGTTCTGCTCCTGAATCCAGCTGGAAATCGGCTCCTCCTGCTTATGAGATTCCTCACAGATTTGTTCTGGTTAATTTCATAAATCTTTCCTCTGACTGTCAGTCACAGTCACCAACACTTACAGGAAACCGCCTGTGTTGGCTATGAGGGCTCAGAAGCACAGGGAGGTGAAATAACTGATAAACACATTTGCAGAGCAACAGGATGACAAGTGCAAATTCAAATAGCACAAACTGAGAAGCAAGGCGTCTGGGGAGCATCGAGGAAAGAAATGAATGAGAGGGTTCACTGGGGAAGGAGGCTTCCCTAGGGGCAAGGGCTGGGCCTGCGGGTGACAGCAGGCAGGGCTCTGCAAGACCGAGAGGATGACGTCTGCAAGGGCACGATGTGAGGTCACCTGTGACCTCACAGTTGCCAAGGCCGATAGCCTTTTCTTGGTTCTCATCCTCCTTGACGTCTCTGAAGGATGTGAGTCAGCCTGAAGCGACCCCTTCCTTCCCGAGTCCGGTCCCCATGGCCTCAGTGACCCTGCCCTGGCCTAGTTCTCCTGCCATCTGCCTGCCCCTATGCCCCCCGAGTGTAGGCATTCCCATAGGCCTGTCCTCGGTGGCGCTCTGCTCCCAGTCCACTCCATCCCACTGACTCTTGTCACTTTGACAGAGGGCAGGCTCTCCCTCCCAAGCTTTGTCTATATATCCAAAAACCTGTGTGCATTGCCAGTTGCCATTAGAATGAAGGATGTTCCTCCAACCTCAGTCTGTCTACGGCCAAGCTCTGTCATGCCCTCGTCCTGAGTGGGTCGTCCCCCTTGCCCATGCTTTCTGTTCGTGATGCCACCATGTATTTTCATCGTCCCCAGATTCAACAGGTCACCTCTGACTGCTCCTCCTCCCTCCTGTCTCCAGGCAGCCTCCCTTGCATTCCTCACATCCTTGGCTGAGTCTCAGCCCATCTCTGCTCGGCCCTCCCTGCTGACCCTGCCGCCCCAGTTAGCTCAGACCTCACGGCTGGGTTTCTGTCTCAGCCTCAAGTCCTTCCGTGGTGTGCTGGGGAGGGGCCTCTGCAGACACGTTCCTCCCTTGCTAGGAGCTTCCTGTTAGGCTTTGCCAATGGGAATTCTGGAAGAAGAGGGGAAGGCCGGCGTCAGGGGAGAGGACGTTGCTCTTCCCGCCTGCTTCTCCTTTTTCTTAGCACTACCCTAGCAATGGCCTGCACCCCAGCAGCACTAACTGCTTCCGGTCTTGGTTTTGTGTGTGTGTGTGTGTTTCCCTACTCCTAGACCAGCCTTATTGTTGCCCCCAGAGGAACCAGCACCAGTGGGCAGTGCCCTCTTCTCAGAGATCCACACCTCGGCTCCCAGGGCCCCTCCTCCCTGCTTCTGGGCTGAGAGCCCCACATGCTTCCCTCTGCTTTCCCAGCCTGAGAGGCGGTGCTCCTTCCTGCAGTTACTACCCGTGCTGCCTCAGTCTCCTCCTGTTCCTCTTCCAGTTCTCCAGCACCTGTGTCATTAACATCCTACTGAAATCCTCACCACTGAAAGGCCGAATAGAGTTGCTGGTTTTTGCCTGGCCCCTGACTTACGTAGTCCTTGGTACCGGGAGTGATCTTAAAACACAGACCCTCCAGGATGGTTTGGAACTGGTTTGGTATGTCTTGCCCTGAACACAGGGCTGGGATCCTCCCAGTGGGAAATGGGTCCTGGTGCTCTGTGGCATGCGGCGGGTGACTGAACTCCTGAAGGTGCTGGCACCAACCGGGCAGGGCCCCTTCTTCAGGGGTCCGGATCTCAGCTCCCTGGGGCTCTTCCAGCTTCTGACACCCCCGACCTCTGCCCGCCACTCTGCGTCATCTCAGTGCTGCCTTCTTGCCTCCTCAGTTCTCCACCGCCTGATGAACCGATTCCATATAATAAAATGTCTCCGCTGAAATGGCGACTGCGCTTTCTGTCTTCCTGACTGTGCCTCAACTGAAAACACTTCTCTTCTCTTCCTTCTCTCTCCCGGCTCTAATCCGCCCAGAGCGTGGCATCCACAGATGGACCCTCATAACACAGTGCCTCCATCTTGGCAAACCTTCACACAAACCCCACTGAGGATTCCTTCATGGCCTACCCATCTCCACGGTCAGCCCTAACCCACCTTCCCACCCTCTCCCCAACAATCCCTTACCCCAAATCTGGGCTCTGCATTCCTGTTCTCCCAGTCCCTGAAAATTCCTCAAGGCCACCTCCTTCCAGGTACCCCTAGACCAAATTCAAATCCCGTCCATTCGCTGCAAGGAAATCTCAAACAATACCCTTCCTGCACAGTCTCTGAAGGCCATCTCTCCCTCCTTCGTCTTTATCTGTGTGGCTAATGTGGATCATTGCTCAATGGCAGTGCAAGATGTGATGTCAGAGCAACCCTCCCAGGAGGCTCTATTACCATCTCCATGTATATCAAGAGGCAGAATATCACAGTACTTAAGGGCACAGACTGTGAAGCCAGATTCCAGCTCCATCACTTTCTAGCTGTGTGACTTTAAATCAGTGAGTTAACCTCTCTGTGCCTCAGCTGCAACACGTATAACACAGGATAATCACAGCACCTACCTTGCAGAATTGTTATGAGGATTTAATGAGTTAGTATGTACAGTGCCTGGCATAGATAAGTACTATTTAAGTGTTTTTTTAAAAAGTAAATCAAATATAGATCAATGTCAAATGTTGTTTTCTCTCTTCTCCAGAACCAGAACAAGCAGCAGCTGTGCCTGGAGGTATTTCCCCGCATCTGGCACACAAAGGGCATTTGCTTTGTGTTCGCTGTGTTACAACTTATCACGTGCATCTTAATTCTTCCTTGAATGCAACTGCTTCATGCTTGCATGCCCACTGCACCTTGCACGGTGACTCAGACACAGCAGGTGCCCAGTGAGTATCTGTTCAACGCATTAACACTTGAACTGAACATCAGGTCCTTCAATGACTAGTTACGTGAGAGAAAAAACAGAATAACACAGTTTCAGCAGTAGGGCTGTGGGTCATGGATGGGAAAATAAAACCAATGGTGTGTGTGTGGCAGGGGTGGGTGGGGGGTGTCAAAGGGGGTTGATTTCTGGGCTGAGGTCTTTTGGCCCCTGGGAACTTTCAAGAGGAAATGCTCTGGAAGCCTTGAAGAGGCTGCAGATTGAGGCACAGGCTGGAGTTCAGGAGCCGTTAACTAGGCAGTGGCTGCATTCAGGTGAAAGAACTGCCCAAGGGAGTTGGGGTAAAGAAGGGCACAAAGAGGCCAGGCACGGTGGGTGGCTCATGCCTCTAATCCCAGCATTCTGGGAGGCTGAGGCGGGCGGTTCACTTGAGGTCTGGAGTTCGAGACCAGCCTGACCAACATGGCGAAACCCCATCTCTACTAAAAATACAAAAATTAACTGGGCATGGTGACATGTGCCTGTAACCCCAGCTGCATGGGAGGCTGAGTCAGGAGGCGGAAGTTGCGGTGAGCTAAGATTGTGCACCACTGCACTCCAGCCTGGGAGACAGAGTGAAATTACGCCAAAAGAAAAAAAAAAAGGGCCGGGCACAGTGGCTCATGCCTGTAATCCTAGCACTTTGGGAGGCTGAGGCGGGCGGTTCACCTGAGGTCAGGAGTTCAAGACCAGCCTGGCTAACATGGTGAAACCCCGTCTCCACTAAAAAATACAAAAAATTAGCTGGGCATGGTGGTGGACGCCTGTAATCCCAGCTACTCGGGAGGCTGAGGCAGGAGAATCGCTTGAACCCGGGAGGCGGAGGTTGCAGTGAGCTGAGATTGTGCCATTGCACTCCAGCCTGGGCTACGAGAGTGAAATTCCATCTTAAAAAAAAAAAAAGAAAGAAAAAGGCCCAGAGGAGCACAGCTTGAGGACAGTGTAGCTTCGGCCAAAGCCCTGGAAATCAGACTAGGACCCAGGGTCTGGATCATACAGCTCTGCCGCTTCCAGCTCTGTGACCCAAGGCAAATGTTCTCATTTTTCTGGGCCTCAGTTGCCTCATCTGTAAATGAAGATGGCAATAAGACCAATCCCCCAGGGTTGCTATGAGGATTCAGTGAGACCACCTGTACCGAGGGTCTAGCACCGAGCTGATGCACCCAAAGTGCTCATTAAGTTAGCTCCATGATGAAAACCGAATGTAAAAAGAACACAGAGAGAAGCCCATTAAAAAAAAAATGTAACTTCAGAAAATAATGTTCCCACCTTATCCATAAGGAAATTAAAGCTCAAAAAAGTGTTTGTCCAAGATGACACAGCCAGTAAGAGGAACAGGCAAAATTACTTTTGTTACACAACACTGCCTCCTCTGGTATTCTGGAAACTGGAGACTCTCCTGAGAACCATTAATTTCTTTTGCTCCAGTATGATTCAGTTACTACTGTCAGTCATCTTTCTGTGTGACCCTTTTATTTTCAAAGTATAAAAGCTATTAAAAATATCATAATTTATTCTCAGTCTGGAAGAGGGGAATTTTTTTAAAAAGAAATCTTTTTCTCTATATAATTTCTCACCACTTCTTTCCTGAGCTGGCCAGGGAAGCCTGGAAAGGTCACAGGTCTGAACAGAAACACGAGTTAAGAGTTTTGGAGTTGAGCAGATCGAGGGGCTGAAATCCTGCCTAGGAGCTTCAATAGGGGTTGACCTTGGCTGACATCTCTCAGTGCCTCAGTAAGATCAGAACAATCCAGTACCTGGCCAGGCGCGGTGGCGCATGCCTGCAATCCCAACACTTTGCCAGGCTGAGACGGGCGGATCGCCTGAGGTCAGGAGTTCGAGACCAGTCTGGCCAACATGGTGAAACCCTGTCTCTATTCAAAATACAAAAAAAAAATAGCCGGGCATGGTGGTGCGTGCCTGTAATCCCAGCTACTCAGGAGGCTGAGGCAGGGGAATTGCTTGAACCAGGGAGGTGGAGGTTGCAGTGAGCCGAGATTGCGCCACTGCCCTCCAACCTGGGTGACAGCGTGAGACTCTGTCTCAAAAAAAAAAAAAAAAAAAGAACAATCCAGTACCTAGCCCAGTGTGCTATGGTGAGATGATTACATGAAATATGTGTGCCTCACATGCAGTAAGGACTCAGTAGCATGCATATGTGTTTCGTAGTCTATAATCCAAGCTATTGTTTTTCTAAATGTGCAGAGTGATACAAGGGGCACACTACAGATGTGCATGCCATATATTCATCCATTCTGAAAGTATTTATTGAGTACCCACTATGTTCCAGGCATTGTTCTGGATGCTTGGGATGTATCAGTCAACAAAACAAAGATTCCTGCCTTTGGGAGTCTCAACATTTACGCCCTTCTTGGAGAGGGGCAGCACAGTAACTTTGGGTCTTAAAGACAACACACAAGTGCCTTTTGCAAACTCTGGTCACTACACTCAGGTCACCGTTATCAGAGGGGGTGAGGTCAGGGAAAAAAAAATCCCATAGTAAAGACTACCAAAGTCACTGATGCCTAACTTTGGGGTAGAGTAAATGTTTAGCTAAAGCACTCAAGGTTTGCTTAAGTTTTGTTTGTTTTGTTTTAACAAGTCTGCTCCTCCAGAGTTTTAACTAGTGATTTTTTAACGAGTCGGCTCAACTGGTAAAGGTGGTCTCAGAGTATGTGACAGGGAGCAGGGGAAAATCCACCGGAGCTGCGAAGTGCCCTGGAAGATCATTCTTCCGCGCCTAATGTAACTTACTGTATCAGTAATTGCAGTAACTCGCCTTCGGCAGAGAGAAAGGAAAAGAAGGTAGGCAATTTAGGTGAACAAAAGCTTTGGATGAATTATGAAGGCTCTGGACTCCAGAGACCACCGTATTCAAGCGCAAATTTTCAGACTCACCTGCCAGGATGCATTTGGCTGCCAGCTTCACCATGGTAACCAACACTCCCGCGAGCCGTAACCAGAGCACAAGAGCGGCTGCTAGAGGCGCGGATGGGTGGGCTTCGGGCCCTGGGCTGGCCTGGGACGGGAAGGTGGGGAGGGCTGATCTCAAGGGCCAGTGGCCGCGACGGGACTGGGGATGACCGAGCCCGGCCCTTCTGGGCTGAGGGCAAAAATCGGGCGCTGGGGGCGGGTGGGCAAGGGAGGGCTCCAGGTGGGC